GAATTTACTTGTCAAATCTTAGGAAGTCCTTTGTGTGCTCAGAGTAAGTTCTATAGTCCGGGGGGGGAGGGGGAAATCTGTATTTTCATTTAAAAAAATAGGTCGAAGCAGGGCTTATGGTACAACGTGGTGCACAGGCTAACTGTGACCAACTCCTCCCTAATGTTTACTTAGCACTGCCGGAACACCTGTATTGCTGCTTTTACTACCCACCAGTCCCCTGGCCATTATGAATTGAATTATTGGCAATCGGCCTACAGCTGAAACCACGTACAAAGTAATCCTTTTCAAAGTTATCCTATCAATAAAAACTCCCCCTTCAAGGTATGTTTTGCCTTTGTCATCACAGAGCTCCTATGTTTAAAGGGAGTAACTTAGCCTGTGGGTTCCTCCAGAGAATGATCCAGGCAAGGTTCATTTTTTCAGCCTGATAGCCAGCATAAGCTGGGGGTGAGTTGGAGATGGGCTAGAGTTCTCAGCTATGTGAATAGGTCTGGTTTGGACACCAGGGAGCTGCTACTGTCCCTTGACAGTCTGATCTCTCTGAATTTAGTGCTGCTCCTAGTAACCTTTTTTGTTCACTTTTTTAATGTTTTGTTAAACACAGCAGTAAACAGAATTTAGTTTTTATAAGGCAGGGTGGGGAACCTTTTTTGGATTGGGAGCTGCTGACCCACAGAAAAATCAGTCAGGGGCTGCACACTAGTGAGAAATCGGGGGGAAAAAAACCCCCCAAACCCTCCCTGACTGAGGAGAGACCCTCCCCCTGTTTCCCTCGCACACCAGAGCCGAGTTGGGCCCAAGCTAGTACATTTTGTGTGCTCCAGTCCCTCAGTAGGCATGGGCTCCCCAATGCTAGGAGGGGAGCCCTGAGCCTTGTAGGGTGGATCTGTGGCAACTTGCAGTGTCTGTCGTCTGTGAATTAAAAGGAGTTTGAATGCTGCTTTTGTCTGTGTTTCTTGTTGAGCATAATTTGGAACAGGGAACTGTCCACAGGATGCGAGGAAAGTTCTCAGGGAATTCTGCAGCTTTCTTTGTATTTAGGACTAAGTTTCTTAAAGGTAGAGGCCAAGCAATGTCTCTGCCCCTAAAATTAATTTAAGCTCTGGATATGGCTGGCTTGCACTGAGGGGTTTTTTAAATCCCATGGAGAATGCAATCTGAGACGGAGGAAAAATTACAGGTTCAGGGTTTCAGGTGTTACAGAAGATGCAAGATGTATGAGTTGAATGCAGTTATTACCATCTACTAATGATTAAATAGAGAGCCAAATGAAGTTGTTCTCTTGGTGTTTTGCATAACTATCTGAATTCTACACTGCCTGGAGAGTTCAGTGTATTTACATTTCTCACAGACTTGCCAGGGAATGCCTTAGGTTTTCCAAGGGCTAGGAAACTGACTGCCTTGATCAGTAGCATAGAATTGTCATGCTGACTTTGAGTGCCCCAAATTATAGTGAGCTGTGTGACTCACAACTGGGACTTGATTGTATGTGTTACTTTTTCCAATATTACCAGCAAGTCCCCCAGGCATATCATCCAACTGAAGTATTCATGGTGTGAAGATGCAGCTCTTTTATAAATATATATTACGGAGAAGAAACGTGCAGGGTTTCTGGTGCTTAGTTTTGATCAACTTTTGATCAGTCAATTGGCTCATTAAAGAGGTAAGTTGTGCAAGCTGACTCTTATGAGGCGGATAAGCTTCAACTGGCCTGCACCAGCTGATTTGGGCTTAGGCTAAGGAGCTGTTCAGATGTTTGGATTTGAGTTGAAGTTCATGTTCTGGAACCCCTCCACTGTGCAGAATATTAAAACAGAGGGCTAAATTTCATGTGAAGATCTGTGCGTCTGGGTTGCACACCATGGCCTGTAGTCAGAGTGAAGTGAATATCCACTCTTCCATTGATTAAAACTAAAAACCTGTTTGGGCGTGTGTGTTTAAGATGGCTAGGTCATGGTGAGTGTGCCCTACTTGTGTATCATTCATGTCAGTCCCATAGATCAGTGGGAACTGATCTATGCAAATCCAGTTTCAAATTCAGAAATTCATAGTACTCTCTAAAAAGCAGCCACACGTTGTGGTGCCCTAAGAGTTCTGAAGAACCTTTCCCTCCTTGTTAATAGCCCAGGGTGCTTGAGGACAACGTAGAATGCTACAGATGTTTTTCATTGCCCACTTCTGGCTAGGCTGTGTCTACTCTGCAGCTTATCCATCACAACTTCTGTTGCTCAGGGGTGTGAATTAACATTCTCTCCTCCCCCTTCCCGCCCCCCCCCCCAGCAATATCAAATACACAGCAGTGCTGTCCATGCTGGAATCCATCTTGGTGGAAGAGCTTCTCTCATTGACCTCATTCCTGCCGCTCATGGGGGCTAGAGTGGTTAAGCCAAAGGAGGTGCTCTTGTCCGAGCAGGTGCATTAGAGAATTTACAGTGGCACGGCTGCGTTAGGGTGTAAATTCCAGTGTAACCATGCCCTTAGACTGTGATGACCATAGCTGATCCCATTAGACTGCTAAACTTCCATGCTAGGATACGGGATTCTCAACCAGTTTTCTTTTAGAGAGGGAGGTTTATTTCAAGTGCTCCCATTGGTCAAAAGGAATTTGTTAGAAAACCTTGCCTACTCTTAGGTTTTCTATCACTTATGAAGTCTGTCACTTCTTCTTGAGCAGTCTGAGCTTTTAGATATCTTGACTACCTTGTTAACATGAAAATGTAGCATCAATTTAATTAAAGTTGTAACTTTAAGTCCATATAGTTTGGGGTTTGCATGGCTACTCATATTTTGGTTTGGTTTTAAGTTAATTGTGAATAACTTAAACAAAACTAGTGTCCACGCTACAGTTGTCCAGTTCAGTTTTACTGTGTAGGAGAGCAGGACTTTTAGGGTTCATTTGTCTTTTTCACTCACCTGCTTCATCCCTGTAGAAACCCAGATTTCTGCCTGTGCTCTGTTAGCAGGTGTCAAGTTTATCACTCCCTTAGTGACATTACTTGTATGGCGCTGAAATTCTAGTGAAGCTTTGTCCCAGGCACTAAGATCATGGTGCTGTACGCTCAAAGGGAGTTAACCTGTTAGTGTGTGGCTAGGAAATGCGTGCAGTCCGGAGCATCTTGCTGGAGTAGCAAGTGCCTTGCGCTCACAGCTGCTTTTCCCTGATGGTGGTTTTTGTTTAGCATATATTCATGGCCCTGACTGAAACACTTCTCCCAAGGTGGCTTTTGGCACTTATCTAAGTGGTGCAAGAATGTTAGTTTAACTCTTTTTCCAATATTTCGTCTAAAATTATGTACCTGGAGCAAACACGACCCCTTCATCACTATCTGCCAACCTGCCATGCTGATAGATGGGCTTCTGCATTCCATCAGAAGTCAGGATGTACAGGACTTGGTTTGGCTTCTCGGTGGCAGCTGATCATTTATCATATGTTGACCTATCTCTGTGTCAGCCTTACCCTCTCAGAGCGCTTTAAAACACAGGTCAGTCTTTGGCCAGCACCATGTCAAGCTAGCTACGGGCTTGTTTTCTGCCTTGTGTCCCCACACAACGAAACCTCAGCAGGCATGGCTGTTGCTAGTGCGTTTAGAGCTAGTCCACTCAATGAGTCTTGTTAGGGTTGTGAAAGATTTAAAGACTGAGTTATCTGTGCATTTCTTAACTCTGGGCCTAGGTACAACTGCTTGTAAGAGAATTACCCTCTTTAGGTAGGTGGTAGAAACTGTAGGTGCACATCAACTACCTTCCTTCATGTTAGAAGTAGATTTGCTCTGATTTGCTCCCAGGCCGAAAAGGTTTAGGCTAGGTTCCCTGGTGGAAGTTTCCTCACCCTGAAAGAGCATAGTGTGTGTCCATTTTGCTTCTCTGTGCCATGTGCTGCTTGCCACCTACCTCTGGAAATGGGTTATTCATTCATCTTGTAACCTTCAGGGAAGCTGTTTTGCTTACAGCTAAAATACCTTTATTGTCTAGGTTTATTGGGCTGCAGCGGTGCAGCCTTCTCCATTACTCAAGGACAATACCTGTTTGATAACTTATCTTTGAATAGCAGTGTGGTAACTTGTTTATGCAAGTCAGTAGATTCACAGTAGGAAGGCCTGGCGTAGGAAATCCAGATTCACGTGCTTGTTCATGTGCTTTCCAATCAGGTGTGTGCACGTGCACGGTAGCCGGAAGGTTGTCCCTAGCAGCTAGCCATAAGGTAGGGCTAGGCGCCCCCTGGAATGGCACTGTCATGGCGCCCCATATGGGGCCCAGCCATTTGGCCCTCTCAATTCCTTCTTACTGCCAGCGCTGGTAGCTGGAACTTCCCCATGCTTGTCTCTTGCCTCATACATGGATAAGCATACCTCTTGTATAGAGTTAGCCGTGTTAGTACTTACTGCTTAGCACTAACTATTACTATACATTCGTTAGGCCCGCCCCCCCGGGCCCTGGTTGTTTCCCAGGGCATGTCTTGTTTTCCAGGCTTCAGAGCCCGTCAGTTGTGTGCCAAGTACATGTGGAAGAATGACCCTCTTTCCCCCTGCCTGGGTGAGGGTCACCAATAGGCCCGATGCCAGGTCTGTCGGGAGTTCCAACCAAGAACAGTTAATGAGGGAACAGTGGCTTAGAATCCTGTGGCCACCATCGGGCACTGGGGACGTGGCACCTGGTGCCTCCTTGCCCCGGCACCAATTTGTAGTTTGTAGGTTTAATGATAGAAACCTTCTTCAAACACAGGGGAACAATGGCGTGGGCAGCTATTAATTTTCTCTCTCTCATTTTCCACCTGGTGTACAGAGGTGCCATTTAAAATGTCAGTTTTGCCATCACAACATTTGGAAAGCACATTGTTGCTATGGATAAGACTAAGATACATTTTCAATCACCATCCTGCTAATTAAACTGCATCGGTGAAGCATGGGTTCCTTTTTCACACAGGGATGGCTGTTTGCTTCTATTTCCTCTCAGTACTCAGCCGTGCATTATAACCTTGTGTTGTCTCTTTGTTGCAGTGTGCGAAGGAGTGAAGGCCCCATGTTGTGTTAGTGCCTGTCTGCCATGCTGGCCTGTCTGCCAGGACCAGGTGACCTCTCCTTTCAGCTTCTTTCTTACCCGCAGATGAACACTGGACTTCAGAAATGTGAGTGGTGTTTTGCCTTCGGGACATGGTTGGTTGTTAAATATGGCCTTGGTATAGCTATGAAATAAACATTTAGGGTACAGCAGAAAATCTATTTTAATAGTTGTCTTTTATGTTTTGTCATGCCTGTAAGGCCTCCATCAATAATGGCTGTGAGAAATAGCTACTAAAGTTAAAGCTTTTAGAGGTTAATTTTAATCCTAGCACGACAACAATTCTTGCCTCTTCGCTAAAAGCATTAGGCAGTGAAACTGTGCGTATTGATTCAACTCAATAGAATTTTCTTGGTTCTTTTTCACTGAATTGAATTGCAAGGCAAGCACCAGTAGAAGTTAGCTTATGCTTAATGCAGAGGTGAAGTTTGTTTTGTTGATATAGGGCTGTATCGCATTCTGATGAGCCACAAATAGTTTCATCTGGCCAGTATTTCCAGTACTCAGTTGCCATGTCTCCATCCTGCTGTCTTTTCTGTGGCTTTGAAAACTGTTGCATAGAGAACCGCCGTAACCATTAAACTCCTCTCATCCCTGTGGCATCTGCACTGATATTTCAGGGAAACCTATTTGGATACAAGCATTAGTTTATTAAGGGACCACTTAAATCATCTTGTTTGTTTCCCCCCACTTCCTTTCATCCTTCAGAGATCACTTGAGTCACAAATTGGTTCCCCAGTTGGAGTGGCAAATAAACTCTTCAGCAGTCCCCAAGGTGTTTATTAAATAACTGGGTATAGTGTCCTTCAGCCTGCCCCGAATATCTGCACCTTGTGCAGGGGGAAATTCATGTCACGTTGTGTAACTTTTGGTTTTGGACTTGCTATTACCTTTTCAAGTCACGTAATTCCTACTAGTCAAACTGCTGAAGCGAATGTTGAGGAGGAAGGTCTTAGTCTCCTAGGTATGTAACTGGCGCCTGCCAAGGGAGAACAAATTCTTGGGGCATGTGTGTTTCAGTATTTCAATACATTTATTGTAAGTTTCTCCAAATGTGCTTTGTAATTGCAGAACAGTAGTGGCATTAACACACTATTAACAGGGTGGATTCATTTAAATCAAGGCGGTTTTAATTCACAATTTAAATCAGCAAAAAATCATTGATTGAAATCAAGTTTCTCATTGATACTTCATATGTTCAAACAGTGGGTCAAATCTGATCAGTAAAACATTAATTTACAGCTCAGTACGAGATTTTTACATCTAAGGGTATACATTGTGTGCTTTCTTAAGATAATTTGATTTTTATTAATGTATGGAGTAGTACATAATACTCATTACCTGTGTCAAGCTGCAGATACAGCAGCAGTATATTAGGAATAGGAAGAACTAAATCATGCACACAAACGTAATAACTTTTATATTTTATTACACTAAATCTTAAATGTCACATAAATGTTTCACACTGACAATTGAAGCAGTCTCCTGAGTTGCTGGCTGATGCCTGTGTAAACTTTTTTCTAATTTTAATAACTAACAGACAGGGCCTTAGAACATAAAATGTACCGTTTCCTTAACTTCTATAACTAGCTCTCCTCTTCCCCACTCCCACTGTCATTTTGATGCAGATCTGATTCCAAGTTACCAAAAAAGCCAAGACTGTGCTTAGAGTGCACTTAATTTTGGAGTAAGCCCTATTGAAAACAGGTATAGGATGGGGCTCCTTCGGGAAAGTTGAGTTGTGCTGAATTAAAATCGGAAATGAATTAGGGCATCACCATTATGGCCTGTGGCCATGATGTTCCAAAATGAGGCATGTGTTATGTAAAATAAAAGAAAATGACACTCCTGGCAATTCTAGATTTCACTTGCTCTGTATTATATATTTGGGTGATAGATTCTAAACCTAGTTAACTAATTAAATAAGCCATAAAGATTAGCTAAGCCTTTTTTTTTCCTAGCAACATCCAGCACAGCAAGCAGCTTGGGGATTTACTTGTCAAATCTCTCTTACTAAAACGCATAGAGAGCATCTTGAACGATGCCTTGCAAAATTGATCCACATTGTTCTTCACAGACCCACGTCTGTCTTTCTCAATAAGCAGTTTTCCTTAGGATGTTTCATTTATGTAGCTAGGCCCTGCATCGTTGCCTTGCCCTGTTCACACTTGACACATTCTCCTTTTGTACCCAGGGGATGAATTTGTTCAAAATTATTCCCAGACAGGAGGTCTCCCAGAAATCAGGACCGTTCTCCTGTGGCAAAAGTGTGAGCAAGTACTGTGTGCTGAATTATGTCTTTCCTTTTAGCGACTCCACTGTTCCTTTCTGAGCTGCCTCGTGCCTTTCCTGTGTATTGTCGGCCTGTCTTTAGACAGTGACTTAACTAACTCCTCTGCCGAGCTTGGCCCGGGGCCACCACCACATAAGCACACAACAGAAACAATCCCATCCGGCCTGCATCTGAACTTGCCCGTTAGTCTGCTGAGAACCAGAAATTGAAAGCCCAGAACTTTCAAAGAATAGGAGCTGGTTGTTAAATGCATTAATGGTTCTAGTCTGTTCAGCTGAGGAGGCTGTAAGTGTAGGGGTAGCATGTTTGGATAAGATTCAATTGTAACTGTTTTTAAATGAGAAATTTAGTCTGTTATTGATTAAAAAAAAACTGATTTAAATAAAAAAATAGGATTTTTTTTCAAACTTAAATGAGAAATTTAGTGTGTTATTGATTAAAAAAAACTAATTTAAATAAAAAAAATAGGATTTTTTTTCAAATCCTCCGGGCCTGATGCAATTTAGAGTACTAAAGGAACTAGCTGAAGCAATTTGGGAACTATTAGCAATTATTTCTGAGAATTTGTGGAGTATGGATTGGGTCCCAGAGGCATGGAGGAAAGGCAAACCTAGTATCTGTCTTTTAAAAAGGGACCAGAGTGGGCCTGTGGCACTATGGACCAATTAGCCGAACATCTGTGTCTAGAAAGATACTGGAATGAATTATTGAACAATTATTGTCTTTTTGGCAACTTGAAGGTAATAGGTTTGTAAGCATAGCCCATGTGGATTTTTCGAGAACTCCTCCATCTCCTATCCTGCCTGGCAGGTTACTGTTCAGCGCCTAGCGAAGTTGTAGCTGTGGTGTATCTTGATTTAAGCAATGGTTTTTGTGACATTCTCATAAGCCAACTTGGGCAATGTGATCTAGATTAAATTACTATACAGTGGTTGCACAACTGAAAGATGGTATCTGTGATTTGCTGTCGGGCCAGGGGAATTTTTCCAGTGTGATCCCATGGGGTCTGTTCTGGCTCTAGTCATTATCAATATTTTCACTAATACTCTCCCTTTAATTATTCAAGGGTCTTTATAAATTTTGCAGATAACACCAGCCTGACACTCTCTGAAGCTAGGATTTGAATTTGAAACTACCTTGAAAGTTGTAGAATTGGTTTGAAATCAACAAGATGAAATTCAATATGAACAATGTGCAACTATAAAATATGGATTAACTGGCTAGGTTAGGGGTAGGCACTTAGTGGCCCGTGGGATGGACGTGGTTTGCCATGGTTAGCCCTTGGCAGACCATGGGATCCACAGGTATGGCCGGGGGTGGAGGTGCAAGAGTGAGGGTTGGGGCATGAGAAGGGACTCAAGGCAGGGGTCCCAACAAGTGAGGCTTTTTCTCCCCTCTGCCTAAGGTCCAGGGAGGGGAGGGGAGGGGAGGGTTTGGGCTATATACCCAATGTGCTGGCAGGCAAAATGGCAGAGTCCTAATCCTATTGACCATTCCCTTGGGGGCACAACTGCCCCCAGTAGACGCTTTGCGGGCTCACTGCCCCAATGGCCACTAGCCTAGCGTGTCCATCTGAACAGCAGTCCCTCCTTTTGCATGTTATGGAAAACAGTCCTTTTCCTGGGGCTTCCGGTTGTCCTGGCACAACCAAACCTTGACCTTGCTTTAAGTTGGGAGAAGAGGAAGCTGCAAACTAAATTTGGTGGCCCTAGAACTTACTGTTCAGGAGGAGTTCTGGAACAAATGAACTCGCAGCGAGACACACAGACAGATGGACGCTCTCTAAAAAATATAGCTATAGTAGATGGAGCATTTTGTCTTTTCAGCTGATGTATTGCTAGCTAAACTACATGGGAGAGGGTAGAACTTCTCACAACGGAAACCTACAATTTGTTGAAAGGCTTCCTTAGTTGCTGATCGCTTCAGTGTGTTGGAAAACTTCATACTGAAAGAGCAGCTTTGTGAAGTCTTTTAACGTGTTTGCTGAGATGTGGGTGTGGATTGTTGGGTGGTGGATGAACTTCATACTGCATTAGTGCGCTTTTTCGTAAAGCTAATAGGCGAGCATCTCTTAGTTCTTTTCAGGCACTGCCTTATGTTGGCCTGAAAGCACTGCCATAGCCTCATTTAGCCTCACTTGTCTACACAGGGGAAAAGCTTGTAATAGCTACTCCATTTACTCTTGCTCTTTGCTGATGGTTTGGTGCACCATAGCTTACTGTACTTTGGAAGTGCATTAAGTTAAACTGTCCACGGAGTGCTCAGTTGGTGTGTCCACACTAGGGATGTAAAATCCTGATTTAATCAGCTCCTGGCAGCACCACATGGGGACTGGCTTCGGCTCCCGGCTGCCACTTCTGGCAGGGCAGGGGCAGCTCCTGCACCTGGACACACACACACCCTGCAGAGTTGGAGCAGCTCTCTGCATGTGGCAGGCCACGGGTGAGGGACTGCTCCCAAGTACCAGTTAACCAGTACCCGATGAGCATTACGTGCTCACACAGGGAGCTAGTGTGGAATAGTTAGTGCACTATAAATTTGCAACCTCGCTTGCTGCACACTTTTTCCTAGTGTGGACAAGTCCTTAGCAAAGCATTAAGTACTGTGTTTAAAAGAACTTAGTGCATGAAGTGGCTGGCAGATGCTTAAATGGTGCTAATGCTTACATTTCCAGTTAGCTCTGATTTGTATTGAAAATCAAAATGCCCCCTCTGCAGCAGATCAGTATAGAATTATTTGGTGCATTTCTCACATCCAGCATATGCATAAACAGC